GGCAGGATGTCTCTTCTCGGGCCTCCTTCAGCCTCAGAGCCCCCGGCTGCCTGCAGCTGACCCCCCAGGTCCTCCTGGGTCTGGTGGGGGGGCGGCCTGCCCGGGTCGGGAGCCAGGAGGTGGCTTTCAAACTGGTTCAGACAGCAGTCTAGGGGGTTCAGAAGCGTCTGAGAACCGATCCCGTCCCTCCGGAGGTACACCTGAGGACCCGGGCTGGGGACGGCCGGCGTCTGGGGGGGGTGGGGGCTGGGGCCCGGCGTGGTGGGGCTGCAGAAAGGCTGCGAGCCGTGGTAGTTCTCGTGGAAGAACTGGCCGGTCGGGAAGTCCTCGGCGGATAAGGAGGCGAAGTCCAGGGAGCTCCAGCCTCTCAGGGCTCCGTCGGCAGAGGTGGAGCCCAGAGGAGAGCACTGCTGCTGGGCCAGGGAGGGCAGGGCGGGCACCCCCCCGCCCCAGGAGTAATGGTTCTGCCCAGGTGTGTCCCCCTGTTCGAACACCTGGGGTCGGTACGAGGTCTGGGACGGGTCTCCGGGGAGGGTCTGACCCAGGACAAACGGCCTTTGGGTCTGGGGGTTCAGGTGGGCAGTTGGCTGGCTCTGTGTCAGGGAGGAAACAGACACGGGATGAAGGGGACCAGGACCAGGACCAGGGCCGGGACCAGGACCAGGGCCGGGACCAGTAGCAGGAGCAGGACCAGGACCAGGACCAGAACAAGGATCGGGACCAGTAACAGGAGCAGGACCAGGACCAGGACCAGAACAAGGATCGGGACCAGGACCAGGACCAGGGCCAGGGCTAGGACCAGGACCAGGACCAGAACAAGGACCAGGGCCAGGAGCGGGCTGTCAGCATCCAGCCACAGGACCAGGACCAGGGCTAGGACCAGGACCAGGACCAGAACAAGGACCAGGGCCAGGAGCGGGCTGTCAGCATCCAGCCACAGGACCAGGACCAGGGCTAGGACCAGGACCAGGACCAGAACAAGGACCAGGGCCAGGAGCGGGCTGTCAGCATCCAGCCACAGGACCAGGACCAGGGCTAGGACCAGGACCAGGACCAG